CAGCCAGGGCTCCAGATGTGACCACAGTCATATCTAAACAGCAGCAACTCCAAAGACACCGCTGCTTTGAAAAGTTCACCCTTGCTCAGCTTCATGAGATACAAATAGAAGCTCATATCATCTGGGACTTCACTAAGGGTCATGCACATATATCACATCTTCGTTATAAATGACCTACAGTTAATTTCACTACACCTTGCTACTTCGATACCCTGAAGCGATTTATTACTTGCAGCCATAAAGACTCAAATCTGCAAAACATTTCTGCGCATTTCTGTCTCTCTACTCCAACAAGCACATTAGCACCAGCATCATTTTAAGGTGACTTCATTAGCAGGCTTTGAGTTCAGAAGGGACTGACATCAGGTTTGGTGAATAGGTGCAGAACAGATATTGTTGCAAATACACAGCAAGGAAAAAGTAATGATATGCATTTGCCATTCCTACCAAACTCTACCCCCTTTCACACTGCAAAGCCAGTTGCTCACTTGGCAGCAGCTCAGTAACAACAGGGTTTGATCCCGGAAGGTCAGCGATTGCTGCTGACACTGGTGAGGGTTCAGACACAGGGCTGCCCTCCCTTTGGAGCAGGCAGGAAAAAAGCACTTTGCTGCCCTCAACAAAGCAGGCAGAACTTTTGATTTTACCATTTTTAGTTCAGCCCCTGCTTATCTTTACTAAGAGATCTCAGGTATCTTACATTTGCTAACATACCTTAAGCACCTCCTTTAAGCAGGATGGCAAAGGCTCGTACTGTTGGATGCCAATGAAATGATATAGTTATTCCGTAGCTGAACGCACCTATTATTTATCACAGGCTGGATGTTCATTCAACCATGAATGAAACCACCAAGCCCAAGCCCTCTCCCCCCATAAAATGGAGAAAGCTGCACCACTCTCAGCAGGCAGGCACAACCCACCACACTGCCAGAGAGACTGATTCACGCCGTCCAGGAGCCTCCTTCCATGGGCTAAATGCTACCCAAGCTTACACTCCCCCAGGGCATCAGGGATACCAGTTTTCAGCTGGGAGGACCCAGAGCTCTTAAACAAAACTGAGGTCTTGCAGCAACTCAGTAGGAGACCCAAGATGCCCCACACCCAGCTCCCATCGCTCCACCACCAACTTGCGGGCATCGTCATAGAGGAGGGGGCTGTGTAGTGGCAGGGCGGCTGTTGCTGGCCCCAGTTCTCCTCCCATGCTGCCAAATGAGCGAAGGACTTTTGGCTGCTGCCACATCGGTCAGGCAGCAGCAGGTTGTGCCCAGTGGCTCCCACTTACGCACGATGACATTCTGGACATTGCTATAGCTGCTCGTGGCTCTCAGGTTCCCTCAGAATAACCTACAGTCTTAACGTGCAGAGCAGCAAGGTGGGGCTGGAATAAGAGACACCTACAAATGCTTAATCAGAGGGTACATTTGGGTTTCAAAGCAATGCCCAAGAGGTGAGGCCAGCAGCTGGACGTGAGCGTGCGTCACAGTGGCTTTTAACGGCCACTTCCAGGAAAGCAAGAAAAAAACGAAGTGTGTCTGATTAAACACACATCATTTCCAACAGTCTAAAGAGCCGTTAATTATACACCTCCGTCCTCAGGTGCTTTTGTACATTTGCAAGAGCATTAAACCACTCACCAGAAACCATTAATCTCTGATCTGAGAAAACCTTCCTTCCCCTTTGTTAATTTAATATACGTAGTCAGCTGAGGCTACCCCAGCAATTAGGGCACACAGAACAATTTGTCTTTTTCAGTTGTTTTGATGCTGGTGTTCCTCTGTTACCATGTGGATTCCACATTCAGTTGAGCTAAGACAGGAAGAGGTTCAAGAGTTACAAACTCACCTTCAGAGCCATCCAACTCAGCTATTTTCTTTCAGAAGAAAACACAACCAGCACCAGGGCCAAACACTGGTCTCGCAAAAGCCCACGGTTCTGCCATCCCCACTCACCGCGAGCTGTCCCGCAGGTGGAGCAAGCAGCGCCATTAAAACTTAAGAGGCTACCTATCGGTCAGGGCTACCTCAAACTGGATCAACAGAGGCAGCAATTCCCACGACACATGTGGGAGCTTCTCCCCTTTACTCCACAACAGGCAGGCTCGGTAGCCTGTACATATTCATCTTCCAGGACAGCAGAGAGATTTCCATACTCACAAGCACCCCACGACAGAAGGAGTCCCATTAACTTTGTCTCCAGCCAGGTCATTCCCTCAGATGGCTCCAGACATAACCTTCAGCCTCCTCCAGGTTATTTTTCCCAGAAATACCTGCAGCACTGCCTAATACTTAGCAAAAGCTCAACTCTGCCTCTTTCTCCCCAGTGCCGATCAACAGCAGCAGCAGCCACCATGGATGCAAAAAAGTGGAGCAGCTGAAAACCTGGGTCTGTTCCTCTGGAAGGTTTTTTCCTCTCTCTCCAGTATTTATTGGCATGTTTACCAAGCCTACTGCAGAGTAACGGAAAACCTCAGGGGCATTTCTAAATGCTTTCTCTGTCTTTAAGGTTTACTGAGGTCTCTAATAGAGCAAGTTGAAACCTTCTTGTGAACATCAGCTGAGCAACGCTACTGACTGGCTGTATTCATGCCTTGTTTTCCTGGAGCTCCTTGGACGTTGATCTTTTCACTGCTCAGGATTGTTGTTTCTTTTTTAAATATTTTTTTTCAAAATCTCTTCCCCCCGCCTGTGATCTCAACACCATCACGAACCAAGGGGATTTTTTTTTTACTTTTTGCTTTTGCAGTTTGGTTCCTGAGGCAAGTTTAACGGTTTTCACATTCTTGTATTTTAAAACTCAATGAAGCAGTCACCTCCCTCCCTGGAAGGGAGCAATGGACTCCAGGGAGGGGCAAGTTCACTGCAACAGAGCAGAGGTGATGCTCGTGTGCTTGCCTGCATGCATGAAACATCCTTGCTTCCCCCATCTCCCTAATACATGCTATTCTTCTCTCTTTGGGACACTAACCCAATATAGCCATGTCAGATATCCACCTAGACCCGTATTTTTTTTGTCATATCCCCACCCCGCAAAGATGGGGATGGCCCCTCTGCCCATCCTTGTGCTACAGGGACCTTTTATCTACAATCTCTTCTTCACAGCCAGAAGCTTGACAGTGTATGCTCCCTACTTTCCCTGGGCTTTTTAAGCTGATCAGTGTAGAGCTACACTGGGCCCTGCATGCCTGATGGAGAGGCTAACCCAGAGCACTGACATGGTGCACGCAGCAAGCACAGCATCTTCGCCCCCATTCTTCTCCTATCCCCCTTGGTCACCAGCTCCATACCGCCTGGAAGGGCAGGATCAGTATGGTCTCCAGAGGGAAGGACTCTATTCCTGTACCACAGGCAGGCCCTCCAACAGGCAAGTCTTCAGTTTTCAGGGTGCAATTAGAGGCGAAGTGCTTACATAGCAAAAATTCTCTAGCAGTACCTTGCTACACAGTGAGACGTAGCCACAGAAAACACAAGGAAGTGTTTTATTGTAGGATGGTGATGGGATCATCCCATGTCAATCTGCAGTAGGGCAAAGCTGGGTAGTCAGTGTGGACAGAGTTTTGTTCCCCTATGGACAGCCTCCATATCCAACTGGCGCTCCTGAGATTTCAGAGTTGACAAGATCGAGCAGAACATGTGTAGCAGCGACTCAGAGAGCCCTGCCAGGAGCTCTCATCAAGTTGACATGTGCTTT